TTTTCCCCGCACCCCCCCCGCCGATAGGAAGCGTGGATCACCTTGTAACGATTGTGTCCAATAATGCAGTGACGAAAAATGCGGTGTCCAATAATGCGGTGTTTAATAATGCGGTGTCCAATAATTCGTGTCCAAATGGGATACGCCCATTAAGAGTCCCTTATACTTGAACTATCGGTCATATTGCTAGACATACTAGAATGTGTATTTGTACATAATATTTTTTATTTTTTTTCTTCTAAATTTCTGTTCCTAATATTTTCTTTATTGTGTGCAGGATCTAATTAATTAACAATGCATAGTTATGTAAAAATTATTATTCCTGTAGGATTACGCGATAATTTTTATTATTAAATTACACAAAAAACTTTTACAGAATGTCTTATGCAGTAATAGAATTTAATGATGGGGGTGGTGTTGCAGTTATCAGAAATACTTGGTTAACGCCTCGAAAAAAAGAAGTTTTTTGGCCACCTACGAAAGATCAAAAAACATTTAATAAAATTTTGGCAAATACAGTATATGCAGATACTGAAAAATGGAAACTGTATTCAGTACAAAGATGTTTATTTGAAACTGGTGAGCATAAAAATTAAAATTTTAGTTATTTTAATTATGTATCAATAAGAAAATCGTAATTAATTGACAGTATGCAAAACGATTATTACTTATCAACTTATATAATCATATAATATATTTTTGATTATACAAGTCGATAAAATAATTGTTTTGCATTCTGTCGATTAATTATTGTTTACTACGATATATTTGCTAATTCTATACTTTCAATTTTTTAGATATAGTATAAAATGCTACATATATTTAATTGTATGGAATTATTTTAGATGATTTACAAAAAGCTCAACAAAAATGCAAATTGTCAGAAGACACATCTGATTTACAAACAGATAATCAAGAAGTCGAATCATTTCCTGTTAAACGGAAAATTAATGCGCCTCGTCGATTTATATCAGGCGAAGAGGAAGAAGTGTTGTCCTCCACAATCGACCTCCACAATTAAAAAAGAAGTTTTTGAAAGTCATTGAAAAAACTAATGAAGAGACTTCAACTCTTAGACAAAGTAAGTTATTATAATATTGTGGTAAAATTCTTTTGCTATTGTTTTTATTTGTCTATATGATTTTGGATGCATTTTTATATATGTTAAAAAATAAGTTAAACAAATTTAATACTATGCCAATAAGTAAAAATAAGCTTCTATATATGTACATTAATTTTAGAAATACTTTCAGATTTGCCCAATGCAGATTATTCTGAAGCTATAACTGCAGATCATAGAGACAAACACATATATAAAGATTATACATATAAAGCTAGCACGCATAAAGATACATGCATGACAGATAGTTCAGATGGTTCTATAGGTATGACATTTTCTACTTGAATCGTTTAAGATTTTTCTTTTAACATTTTTTACATTATTCTAGTAACTTTAATTTCTCAAATTGTTTCTTCTGAAGCAGATTTGACCGATACTAATAATATAGTCACAGATCAAAATCAATGTATTCTAAAAACACATAACGCATCGAGATTTCCTGCAGATAGGCACAGAAGATTTTTCAAGGATAGTACGCCATCCATCACATCTAATGATAGCTCAATAGATTCAAAAGGTATATTTTTTATTTCGATATTTAAAATTTTTCTTTTTTACATTTCATCATGCACATTAAATTTTTAACTGTTCTAGCATAAAATATAAATTTTATACACAGTATATATATAATTTTTTTTCAAATAAATGCTCATAAATCTCTAAAATTTTACACAATACAATAATAATTTTTTTAACCGAATTTTTTCAGCTTTTCAAGAGAAGATTATTTCTCTTCTATCTCATATTAAAACGCAGAATACACAGCTATTAGCTCTTTTACAGAATAAAGAGGAAATATTACCCCTCCAAGATTTTGGTTTTCAATTTCCTATGAAAAGTTTACATGATGTTGATTATGTAGAACAAATACTTAAAGAAAAGACACAAATAGATATTCTGGTGTGTGGAATTATATTTTTCTTATACTTTACACACACGCATATGTATAGTCTCTTTATATCATTTGTTTTTTACAATATTAAAATAAAGTAATGTTGTGTAATCTTATAATTTTGTACCTTTTCAGAATGCTTCTCTATCTACAATTGGTGGACGAGATGTCTCTTCAAAGGTCGCAAGAATTCTAAAATATCTTTTTATAGATGCATTGGCAGCAAAATTTAGCTTTTATGGAAAACGTTTAAATAAACGACCCTTTTCAGATTTATGTTTGAAATCTGTAATTATAGGTAAGTGTATATACTTTTTTTATTCACATGCATGCTTTTTATATTTATGTCAATGATATTTTTTAATAATATACATGATAAATTCGTTAATTTTTTTAGATTCCATCAAACGTAATACACCTGGCGTGAACAACAAGGAAATAGAAGATAGTATTAAAATATGGCTAAAGCACGCTCCTGACAGAGAAAAGAATCGAGAAAAAAGGAGGAAACAGGATGAATAATAGGATGAAATTATTTATTTTTTATTTTATTTTTTATTTTAATAAGAGTTATTAAAAATGGCAGAAAAAATTACATACAGAAAAAAAAGAATTGTAAGTACCCGCCAGCTATACCGACGAGTAGCAGTAGATATAAAAGATACTTGGAATGAAATGCAGCAAAAACAAATTAAAAATCAACAAACTAATAAAAAAAAATGTAAATATGTCATTGATGATAGTGATAAAGATAATATTGGTAATATTAATAATGAAAATGCAATCTCAGATATTTTCACTAATAATTTCAGTTTTATAAATGAACCAATTATTATTAATGACATCTGTAGAGGTCAAGATTTTGATAGTGAAACCGATATATTATTATTTAATAATATAGAACGCAAGTTTTCAATTAAAGCCACACCTTATTTATTTAAAAATAGTGACGAGGAAAATTTTTTATTTCAATTAAGGCGTTGGGCTGTAC